CCCACCCCTAGTTTAGCGAAGGGGGGAAAGTTGCAATACATCATGTGATGACAACGTGATGCTGCGAGTTTCTGAGTTCCACAAGAAAATGGGACGATTATGTCAATGTGGTCATTGGGTTCTACACTTGACTTGAAGGAATCTTTGGCTGTAATCAGTATCCTCAATGGTTAAGTGGAACCAAGTAGAATGGCCTTGAAAATCCACAGAGGACAAACCTAGTAGAAAATCATTGATATCATTGCTTGCACCATTCTGATCAGTGGTGGGTTCCTCCCGGTTCCACCCTGTTCCGCCGAGCTGGTAGCGGTGACGATATGATGTCACTGAACCGGTTCTGTCCCCCCGCCCACCCCCCCACCCCCCCACATTATTCTTACCTTTTAATTGTTCCCACCCCCAATCTATTGCTGCCTCCTGAGTCCCAGCTGATGGCTAGAGGGAAAAAAACTGTTTAAACTCCTGCCGCGGGGCTTCAAAGGGCCACCCTACAGCTGATCAGTGGTAAAAGAAAACAAATGGGTAGACCGGTCCCTGCAAAAATAAATGGGTAGACCAGTGCCTGAGAAATACATGAGTAGATCAGTGCCTGCAAAAATAAATGGATAGACCAGTGCCTGCAAAAATAAATGGGTAGGTCGGTACAGCTCTGCAAGCAGTTAAAAGCCTGGTAGACCAGTACTCTGCTAAATCCTAAATAATTGTCACATGACCATCAAGCCACGCCCACAAAATAAGCCATGCCCACAGAACCGGTAGTAAAAAATTTTAGAACCCACCCCTGATTCTGATCCTTCTCAGAACTCAAGAGATTAAAGGTTTTGGGGGAGAATCCATCTGTTGGTCACAGAATGTTTACAACATTGCTTTGGCTGTATAGGACGGGAAGCTCCTTCAGAGTAACCAGGGGTGAAATGCTCCCGGTTCGGACTGGTTCAGTGAACCGGTAGCAATAGCGGCCGGTGGTTCAGATAACCTGTAGCAATGGCAGCTCAAGGCTCTTCCCACCCGCCCAATCATCATTATTTCCTGGTTTTAACCAGGAAGTAACCTGTTTTTTACCCTCTGCGCATGCGCAGAAGGGTTTGCATGTGCGCAGAGGGTCCAAGCGCACACGTAACATGTGTGTGCAGCACATGCACTTCCGAACCGGTTGGGAAGGTAAGTAAATTTCACCCCTGAGAGTAACCATGTGTTTTTTGGCGGGTGTGTTTCAAAGCAAATAGCTGACATACTGTCAATTACTAGAGAACAACTTCATTGCAGGCTTATGGCAATATTATCTAAACCACACGGAAAATAATGAGAAGGTCCTTGTGATCCCCTCTTGATTTTACATCACATCTTGCCTTACATTGCCCACACATTCGGAAAGAAGGTAATTAATCTTCATGATTCAACTTAATGTGAAAAAAGGGGAAGAGGTTCAGAATGAATGAATCATAGCCTTTGGGAAGTTACCTGTCAGACATAACTAATTAAAAAGTGAAAGCTAGACTTCAACGTTTTTATCAGTTACAAGCATTTTACCTTTCAACGGATTTCTTCATGCTAATGGCTCATGAGCTTCCCAGTGCTAATTAAGCAGCGGTGGAAATGGATTGTGTGTTACAAGGAATCCACAATTGACTTACAACCACAAGTGAGACACAAATTTACATTGCTAAGGAAGGCAGTTGTTAAGTGAGTCGCACCACATTTTACAACCTTTTTTGTTTTTGCTACAGTTGTTAAGTGAATCATGCATTTGTTAACTGAACCTGGCTTCCCTCATTAACTTTGCCTGTCAGAAGCTGGTTGGGAAGGTTACAAAGGGGGGATCACATGACCTTGGGACAGTGCAACTGTCATAAGTACATGCCAGTTGCCAAGTGCCTGAATGTTGATCATGTGACCATGGGGATGCTGCAATGGTTGTAAGTGTGAAAAACGGTGATAGGTTTTTTCAGTGCTGTTGTAATTTTGAACAAATGACCTTAAGTCAAAGACCAGCTGTATAGAAGTCGAGAGAGAGAAATGTAATTCTAATGGAGGATTGGAAGAACTTTTAGGAAACTTGGAACCAATCCCATTGCAGAAAGAAATTTAAAAAAAAAACTTTTACAGGAAGAGTGCTATGTGGCTTGGTAAGAAAACAAAGCTTGGGAAAGGATGAATTCTGTAAGACTGGATCTTTCTTATTGGCACTACTAAATCCTGAATCATTTCCCTTTGTGACACATCCAAAAGATGTATTTTTCTAATCGGGGTGCTTCTGATAATCAAAACATCTCTCACCAGCTGTGAAATTAGCCCTACTATCTGAAATATGGGTGGTATATTTCCGCTGGCTTATCGAAACCATGGAAAAGGGCATTCATTTGGAACTGAAAATATAGCACTCATTTGATAAGAGCAGCCATTTAATGCAATGAATGCAAAACATTAAAAGCATCTTTAGAAGAGTATTAACAACATAAGCTGATTAATACGTGCTAATTAAAGGCAACCTAACTATTTACATCTGCAAACATACAAATGCAGAACATGAAATGCCATCTCCAATGTACAAATGACTGCCTATTTTCAGCCTGTTCCTGGGGGTTAATAGAAGCTCCTTCAAATTAAAGAGATTTCTATTTAATCTTAATTTTAATTGCTGGAGCTATAAATTAGCAGAGAAATTGGCCACGTTAACAATAAAGGGAACATTTGGAGTGGAGATCTATTTATACTGTAATTAGTAAAAACTAGACCCATTCTTGCGGAAAGCTAATAGAGATTTCTGCCTTAAGTCTAAGTAAAATCTCATAGAAACTTACAGTAATTATATGTCAACTGATGTCATTTTATCAGAAGGATAATTCTAGTTTTATCTAATTGCAGCATCAACAATCTTTCATAAGAGAAAAACTTCCATTCCAATGGCTATAAATAAACCCCTCAAAATATTAATGATGATTGTCTATCCCAATTATTGTATGTGTGTGTGTGTATTCTTTAAACATAGGAAATGAAAAATTGAAAATACAAAGTAATATAAAGAAAAGAAAAAAATAAATCATAAAGAAAGCTAAAAGTGCAAAAAATGAAAATAAGTAAAAATGTTATTGGGAAAATACTGGAGTGCGCCAAAATGAACAAATTGACTTTAGAAATTAATGACAGAGAAGATTCGGAATTTTGTAGCGTGTGGGACATGTGGTATGAATGGATGGGGAAAAGAAATAAAGAAGGAAATAGAGTATAGAGATTAAGTATTAATTAATCAACAAAGACCATAGAGAAATGAACAGCATTACATGTATTTTTAGAGATGGGAGCACTATTATCCTTAATTGTCTTAAAATTAAACTTAACTTTAAGAAACAATATCAAATAAAAGACAAGTAAAAAAGCATGTATATATATATATATATATGTATGTATTTGCACCACTGAACCGAAAATGTATTGAGTGTATCACTATTTGTTATAATAAAAATCAAATTAAAAAAAAAGAAAATAAAGAAAATAAGTAAAAAAACCAGAAAAGAAATGTATGTATGTATGTATGTATGTATGTATGTATGTATGTATGTATTGGGGATTCATCAACTCCAAATAGTATTCCTCAGGATTCACCCCCACATAGGAATTAGTGCCAAACGCAATGAGTCAAATTCTCCCATCTGGAAACACAGAGAAAGTCCATAAAGTCCCCTCACCAGGCTCAGAGTCCAAGACAAGTCCATGGTCCCAGCACAATACACCAAAATCAAAATCCAAGATCAATGTCCAAGAAGCAAGTCCAAAGTATGAAAAGCAATGTCCAAAACCAGTAGCAGAGTCAAGGGTTTCAATGTACTTCATTTCCCTTCCCTTTCCTCTTCTCCACCTCCTCCTGTCCCTTCCCTCCCTGTCCTGTCCCTCTTCCCTCTCAATGCCCCTTCCTTTCCCCCTCCCCTCTCCCATCTATCCCATGTCATCTTCCATATGGGCCTGGCCCTTATACTCCCCTATTTCTTCTCCCCTCCCCCTTTTCCCTATACCACTCCACCCATTTGTCCTCCTCTCCCCCCACCTTCCTCCTTATTATCCTCCTCTTCTTCCTGCCTCTCCTCCCCATTCTATTCACCCTTCCTCCCTCTCATTCACCTGATAATAACTTGCTTGTATGAAGTGATAATAATATTAGAATCCCCTCCATTTGTTCCTACCTGCCTTTCACCTCCTTATCCCATCCTCCTACTCTTCTCCCCATCCCTCCTCTCCCCTTGTTCTTTTCCATGGCCAGCACTCTTTGTCCCCTTCCTCCTCCCCTTTCTGTTCATTATCCCCCTCCCTGCCTCTCCCCATCTTTGTCCCCAGTCTTCATCCTCCCTCTCCCTCCCTCTCACTTACCTCAGATAATAACCTGTCTGGATGAAGTCATAAAGGCATTTCATTTCTCCCCTCCCTATTTGTGCCTTCTCCTCCCCCTCCCACTGGGCTCACAACTTTTCTTCATCCCCCTTCCCTTCCCCTTCTCCACCCCCTCCTGCCTCTTCCCTCCCTGTCCTGTCCCCTTCCCTCTCTACCCCTTTCCTTGCCACCTCCCCTCTCCTATCTATCTCATTCTCTCTTCATACTCCTCCCCTTCTCCTTCTCCTTCCTCCTCCCTTTCCATCACATTCTGTCCCCCCCCTCAGCCCCTGCCTTTCATTCCCCTTTCCTTCTCCTAACCATCCCACTCCACCTCTTTGTCCCCCTTACCTTCTGTATATTCCTTCCCCTTCCCCTTTTTACCTTTTCTTCTCTTCCTCCCTTTCCTCATAAGCATTTTCCTCCCTATCCACCTCCCCCTGATCCTAAAACTCAACCTCCCTCTCAGCCTGTCTTTCAACCTCACCTTTTCCCCTCACCCTAACCCACTCACCTTTGCCCTCAACCCCAGCCTCAACCTAAATCAAACTCCTACCCTTACTTACCTCTTTAAGAGTTGGCTACAAAAAGAGGGAAGGATCCCCAGAGTCCAGAAGCCCCACTGAAGAGCAACTTACCTCTAAAAAGGCATCTTCTCTCTGATAACTGATAACTGACAGTAACTGACACTTTAGCCTGCAGGGATGAAGTCCTAAAGCCATGAGAATTCCCTAGGAGATGACCTGCCTCCCTTATCTACCTATCGAAGTTCACCTGCTCCTCCCCCTTTGTGACCTACATCCATGCCACCCAAGATCTCTAGGAAGGTACCAAACATATCACTAAAACTGCCTATCCACCATCAGGAATTTGTAAGCCACCCAGAGTTATGTACCCAAAGTGGATTGCTATATAAATCTTGTAAATCAATAAATAGAAATTATGCAGCCTGGCCATACTCCAGATGCATGAATTCAGAAATTTCTCAATCAGTTATACCCATTGGGGGATATTTTGGGTATTAGGAAAGCTTGGGTTAAGTCCATTGGCAGGGTGGCTGTCTGGGCCACCTCTCTGTTAATAAATGAGATACGGTTGAAGAGCAGAAACCTTAGTCTCTCTGCCCCTCCTCCACACCAGGGGTGAAATCCAGCAGGTTCTGACAGGTTCTGGAGAACCGATAGTGGAAATTTTGAGTAGTTCGGAGAACCGGCAAATGCCACCTTTGGCTGACCCCAGAATGGGGTGGAAATGGAGATTTTGCAATATCCTTCCCCCAGGAGTGAAGTGGGAATGAAGATTTTGCAATATCCTTCCCCTGCCATGCCCACCAAGCCACACCACGCCCACCCTGCCACGCCCACAGAACCACTTGTAAAAAAAATTGAATTTCACCACTGCTCTGCACCAAAAAACATTGGAGTGCCTGTGAACAGACAACTCAAGAGGCTCAGAGATTTCTGCCTTGGAAAAGTGTCAGAATAACAAAACAACAGAATAGGAAGGGACCTTGTGTCAGGCCTGGAAGCCATCTTTTGCATTGGATCTTCAGGCCTGCCACATTTACTACTGTGGGAAACTGGGAAGGGGGATTGTATGGAGCAAGGGTGATATATAGTCATAATAACATTTCTTTCTCAGAGAGTCAAGGACATCTTGCCTGCATCTGGAAGGCTGGAATTTGGAGGCATCTCCAGTTGGGACGGTGCTTTGATTGGACCATGTGATGGACATGTAGGTACTGGGCAGAGACTTGGACTTTCCTTTGGGTGGGGAAAACCTGGAAGCTTTCAGATTCGGGTTTTCCAAGATGTGCCAATATGACATCTCTAATAAAATGGAACTTTTTTTCATTGGGGGTGTTACTTGGAACCCTGACACCTTGGTGGTCTTCTAATCCAACGCCTGGCTTAAGCAGGAGACCCTCTTGTCACTGATGTATGCAAACACATTGATCCCAATAGATTGGTTTAAAATTTATTGGTCTTTCCAGACAATGGGTTGGATTCAGAATTTGTCAAAGTTGTGCCACTAAAATCAGCGAGATCTGTTAGATTCAATCCTCTTGATTTCAAAGGGACAACACTATTTCAAGGTCTACCTTAAATACTGTCAAGTCTGCTTCCAATGCCTGACTTTAGAAAGAAAACAGCAGAGTATTAAGTGGCTCAGCAGTGCTGAAGCGCTTCTATATCAAGAAGCAATCCACATCCAAAGAGCTATGCCTTCTGCCCAAAAAAATGACAAATAGGCAGCTTTAGTAATATTTTTGGTAGCTTCCTAGGGACCTTTGTGTGGCAGGGGTGTAGGTCACAAAGGTGGAGGAGTAGGTGAACTTTGATAGGTTCTTATTCCATGGAGAAACCTTTCTGCAACATCTGAATGTGGATCTACTAAATAAACTGGATTTAAATTCAGATAGGGAAAAGCATGCTGAGGGAAAGCAGGAAAAAGCATGTTGAAGTCTTCCATTAAGTTCAACTTGAAATTACAAACCCAAGGACAGTGTTGAGCCTCTTAAGAGTTAAATCTATGAAAATCTTAAAGGGGAAAACAACTCAAGAAGCTTGGGAAATTCTGAAAAATGTGATCATAAAAGCCCAGTCCAGCACAATACCACTGAAAAAGAAAAATAAGAAATCCAAGAAGAAACCAGCATGGATGCAAAAAGAATTCTCAGATAAACTGAAAGACAAAAAGAATAAGTACTAAAAAATGGGAAAAGGAACACATAACTAAGGCAGAATAACAGCATATAGCCTGAATCTGCAAAGATGGTCAGGAAAGCTAAGGCTCAGAATGACCTAAGACTTGCAACAAATGCCAAAAATCATTTTTAAAAAGTTTCTTTCAACATATAAAACACAAGAAACAAGTCAAAGAAACAAGCAGTCAACTAATGGGAGACGATAGCAAGGAGAAAGTAGAGCTGCAGCTGTCTTTATGCAAAAAGAAAAAAATAGCTCAACCTACCAAAAACAGAACCAAAAAAAAAAGACAGACTAGGAATCTAAATTAAAATAGGCAAGAAAATGGTAAGAGAACACCTGCCACTCTAGACAAGTTCAGTTCACCAGGATCTGATGAATTACATCCCAGAATTCTGAAGGAGCTGGCAGATGTGATCTTGGAACCATTGAACCATATCTTTCAAAGAACCTGGAGCATTAGAGAACTACCAGAGGACTGGAAAAGAGCTAATATGGTTTCCATCTTCAAAAAAAGGGGGAAAACAGATCCAGGAAACTACAGACCAATGAGCCTGACATCAATAACTGGGAAGATCCTGGAAAAGATAATCAAGCAACAGATCAGTGAACACCTAGGAGCAAGCAAAATTATAACCAGAAGCCAACATGGATTTGTTAAAAACAGATCATGCCAAACATATCTTATTTTATTCTTTGTGAATAAATTAGTGGACCAGATAAATTTTGTGGACATAATATACTTGGATTTCAGTAAGGCATTTGATACAGTATACCACAACCTACTTCTTGGTAAGCTAGAAAAATATGGGATGGACAGCATCAGCACCAGATGGATTTGTAACTGACACTCAACATGTAGCCCTTAATGGAACTACATCTACATGGAGGGAAGTAAGCAGTGGGGTAACTTTTGTTTTAGATCCAGTACTCCAATATCTTCATAAATGACTTAGATAAGGGAATAGAAGGGGAATTCATCAAATCTGCAGATGACATCAAGCTGGCAGAAATAGCTAACACCCAGAAGATAGGCACAAGATCTAGGTGGATCTTGATATACTTAAATTAGCCCTATCTAACAAAATGAAACTCAATGGTGAGAAAAATAAGGTTTTACAGATTACAGAAATTGGGTATGTCTAGTCTAGCGAAAAGGACAAGGGGAGACATGTTAATAGTGTTCCAATATTTGAGGGACAGCCACAAAGAGGAGAAGGTCAACCTATTTTCCAAAGCACCAGAAGGCAAGACAAAAAGCAATGGATGGAAACTAATCAAGGAGAGAAGCAACCTAGAACTAAAGAGAAATTTCCTAACGGTGAGAACGATTAACCAGTGGAACAGAAGTTCAGAAGTTGTGGGTGCTTCATCACTGGAGGCTTTTAAGAAGAGACCGGACAGCCACTTGTCTGGAATGGTATAAAGTCTCTTGCTTGGGCAGAGATTAGAACATCTCCAAGGTTCCTTCCAACTCTGCTACTCTGTTCTGTTCTTAGGGATTTGGTGATGAGTTGGGCCTAAATATCCAGCCCCGGTTGTGTTAGACTCACCAGTTCCAAACTTCGAACTTCAGGAAACCAAGGAGTGTGTTGGGTTGACCCAACCAAACTGCTGTATGAGCAGCTATTTATAAGAACGCCTTTCCTTCCTTTCTGTTGTCACCTTTGCTTCTCGAGAGTCTGTCCATCACCTGTCTTAAAAAATCCAGACTGTGTAGAAGATTCCCTATTCTCTATTTCCTGAGTTCCTGAACTTTATATTATCACTATATATTCCAGGAAAAAGGCACCCCTTTGATGCTTTTATCTTCCTTGTCCTTTCTTTCCTTCCCAGACTAAGACACATGTACAAAGCATATATCGACTAGCTCTCTTCCTTCAGTGTACATTGCTGTCCCGTTGTTAACCCCCCTGGGATTATTTATTACTGCTCCCTCAGTACTGCTTAAATGCTACTTCCTCATCAAATTCTATTTCCCCATTTATTGCTCTGTCCTTTTGTAGTCATTTCTCATTGTTACTTCTCCCACTGAATCTTTTTTCAGGTTTTCATTGCTGTTCTTCCAACGCTGTTTGATTATTCAAAATGCTACCTTCTCACTGCATGCTATTATCCCAGCATAACCACATGTTACTAAATGTCCTTACCTTCGTAGTATGAATCTGTACTACACTAAGGGAGGACGGAAAGTCACAGCCGCACGGTTCTTTTAAATGTTTTCTCCATTCACATGAATGAATGGAACTTAAGTAACCACATTTATTTTCTATTGTTGCAGCGCTTTCCTTTTAAAACCATGCAAGTTTTCAAAAACATTTTTGTCAACTAGAATTTGGCCCAGTCTAACATGTGATATTCAGCTTCAGATGGCTTCACTTCATTGCTCTAAAATGAAAGCACACAATGCAAGATGAATTGAAAGTGATTTGTATTATTTTGCAGTCGAATAAAAGAGGAATAAATTTCATAAGGGTTCATCTTTTATCATGAGAGAACAAAGGACTGTTGAATCACCTTTGGCCCTAGTAGTAGATGTAATTTTGTTAAGGGCTGTATACACCTTACAGCAGTGGTGGGATTCAGCCAGTTCGGGAGAACTGGTTGTTAACTTTCTAAGCAGTTTGGTGAACTGGTTGTTGGAAGAAATCATTAGGGCAGAGAACCGGTTATTAAATTATTATTAAATTATTTGAATCCCACCACTGCCTTACAGGTTTTCATAATAACTTTGGGAGAAGAAGTGGCAGAACCCGGGGGCAGGGTGAAAAAAGGGATCAGCCTAGAATCCCTACGTAGTGTTCTGTCCCCAACCCCACGCACACACACCAACAGACGTTCAGGAGTTAAAGACTAAACCAGCCGGCAAAATCCTTTTCCTTATGATAACGGAACTTGGCAACAACCTAGTGGCTGCCTGCCAAGAGTTTATTATTTACAAAGAGGAGAGATAACTTCTCCCCACTTCTGATACATCAAAGGAAAGCAGCTCAAGTCCAGAGATAATCCAGT